GTTATATGTTACATGTAATGAAAAAAACACTACTATTGTTCTATGACTATTGATCACGAACCTTGAACATGTTGGTTATTTTGTTTGGTGATCTGCTTTGAACAGATGATGTGAGTGATACTAAATGTTTGGATACAATACCTTTTATACAAAGCGCAGAGATTCACCTTGTGTGGTTTCGTCACTGCCGATGTCGCACGGACTCTAGACGCCGGGCACGCAATGGGGACGCGCAACCAAGTCGATTACGAAAACAGAGCTGGGCAGACTGATAACTCTTTATTTGGATGATTTGTTAAGGGCAGAAAAGTTTTGTGTTATTACGTATGTCATTTATACTGGGGCAAATAATAAACTTTGGTTATCTAACACAGTATCTAACATTGCGTTAAAAAAATGAAGGCTACTGAATATGCCATTTTTATATTGACGCAACGAATCGGTACAAACAAATGTTTAGTGCTTTAAACATTTTAAGGTGATTTTGAATTGATGATAATAATGTTTATTTATTCTAATATCATAAAAGTTAGACAAATCTAATTAATCTAACAGAACATGCAACTTATTAATCTACTGGAAAATGTGGAAAATTAACGAAAAACAACACTCGATGTGTTTATCGAAATGTAACAAATGATGTTAGAAAGAAAAATTACGAATAGTTACACGAAATCATAGAAACGGTTCTAGAGTTTGGCAAATAAATTACATACCTGTTTGATTCCTGATAACTTTACTATTATTTTATTTTCAGAACCTAATATAAAAAAACAGTATTTTAGTACTGTAAATAGTCTCTAAATAAAAATATTCCTAAGTACTTTTTTATGGCTTTAAGTCCTAGGATTATTTTTGTGTAAATGTTATATACACGAGTACAGAGGTTCACCGGAATAAAAATCAACGTAAAAACTAATGCTAAATTGTCCATCTGTTTTGTAATTAGTACTGAAGAATATGTAACCGTTGTAGATGTAATTTTAATTAATATTGAAATAGGATACTATTTAGGTGAACTAAATTTAATTTCGCTAGAAATTTTTCTAGCAAAATTTTACGGTAAATCTCGGAAAAGATACATACCGTAATTTTATCTTTTCCGAGTGAAATTGTCATGTACATGTGTGTATGTTATATAACCACGCCAATGATACTAGATGACTTCAGTAGATGGATATATTCACATTTAAAAAATAACGTAATTGGCTGATTCATTAAGATTTTTGATAGTCATAAGTAGAGAGAAACAAAGTCTTTAATTTTTATTTTATCCCTAGTACTCACTGACGTAAAAATCATTATACCTTTACTTTATTTTTAATGTCTCATTTGTCTTGCTGTTTTTAGTGTAACTTTTTTATTCCAAAATGCAAGACCTGGGTTCTACAAACTGTTATAAGGTCGATGAAATAATTAGTTTAATATTACGATTTTCAAGAAAACAATTCAAGTTAGAAAAGTATAAATATTTATTTACAAACTCCATATCGTATAAAAATTCTTACAAACATTTATTTACAAAAGGTGATAGTTTAACAAGTGGTTAAATGTAAAATTTGACTATAACTTATAGACTAGGTGGATTTATATTAGACCTGATGAAAGGTCTTAGTGTAGTTGGTTCAATATCTCTTGTTTTTGAACGTCTGGAGATTTTTTTACGATAGAATGCCACTTTCTTCCCAGATATGGGTGTACCGTAAGCTTTAGCGTATACGCCGTTACCAGCAGAACGTACTCTATGAGATATTGGCCTTATAATAATTTTTCCTGCTGGCACGTATGTGTGGATATGCTTGGTTACTTTAATCAACTTTACAGGATGATGTTTCTTAAGGGGAGGTGGAGCGATATATGTTAACGGCACTGGGACAACTTCTACCGAAGTCTTCTGAGGTCTGCCTAGTTGAGGTCTTCCTTGTGGCGGTAAATAAGTTGGTCGTGGTTGAAGTTGAGTCGGTCGTGCCACAGGTAACTGGAGAGGTCTTTGTGGCGCATCAGGTGTTAATGGTAATTGGAATGGCGGTGGCAAATATTCTCTGAAATTTACATTATTGTTAGAAGGTAGCGCTTGAACGAAATTGTTGTCGATATTTGTAGAAACCGGGGTTGTTGTTTCAGGCTCTTTCTCAGTAGTCGTAGCCTCAGTCTGTGCTGTGGTTTCTGTTGTGCTTTCTTTGTCTCGGTTTTCGTTAGGAACGAATGCAGGTGACGATGGTATAAAACCGAACGAGGGCGGCGGTCCGAATGGATAAGGCGGAAGCAGGAATGTAGCGACTGGTGCAGCTGCGTTAGCAGTAGCGATTGCTATTGCCACGTTCGGATCGCTTGGCGCATTCTGTGGAGGATTTGTTGGTACTGGTTCTTGTTTATCTTTTGTTGTTGGTTGTACAAATACTGGCCGAGGTGGCTGGACGGGAATCACACCCGGAACTGGTGCCACCCGAAACACATTTGGTGGAACTACTGGTATAAATGGAGCTTGGGCAACAGGTACGACTGGTGGCGCCGGTGCGACGGGTATGAACTGTGGAGTCCGAGGTACTGGTATCACTTGAGGTGGTGGTGCGACAGGAAACACTGGTTGTATAGGTGGCGGCGCTGCTACTAAACGATTAAATGTCCTCTCGAAGTACTGGGAGCTTGCAGCTGTGACTACAGGCGCAGGATGTGCTGGGCCCGCCAAGCTCACGCCCGAGCTCTGAGCTAGTCCACATATTGCTGACAACAAAATAACCTGTAACAAACATATTTCATATTATTTATGTTGTTTAATCGTGTTTTAAGAAAAATACATATAGTTTACTATGTACCGTCACTAGCATGCTGGAACCGATCCTTCGCATGACCGCTATTAAATTTGCAATGCGGGCAGTTAAAAATGAAGCCTTCACTTATATATAGGTGTAACAAATTTTGCATTGTGGTGTGGCAACGTTGTTGGTGTATCGGAATACCTAATGGTACAATGGGTAAGGACATGAACCTTGATGGCTACAAAAATCGTATTGAAACGACGTCGTAGGAATAATAATGGATAGACATGGGCACTGGGAAAGTACTACTGCTACCAATAATGGTCGTATTCGCTTAATTAGTACACCGAACGTTATGTAAGAGTTCAGTAACGTATAACAATACCCCGTGGAGTTAAACAATGATACAAACAATATTTACTTTCGATATGTTTGATGTGCTAATAAACAACGCTAGGAATAAAGGTTTAATGTTCCCATTGATAAACTCTGATAGGTCAACGTCCTTTCTTATAAGAAAATTAAATACTAGTGTTAACAGAGGATTGAAGTGGATTTGTGATAAACAACATAGAACTACGTTGTAGATGTTAAATTATGTAGAGAAGTCTGGTCACTGGTTTAATATACGCAAGTAATACTGAACTTTCGACTGAATTGAATAGGTTAAATTTTCATGCAAACTATGAAATTTGTATGTCTTCGGTGTTCTGGGCAATAATATAATGTTAACCTCTGACCCTAAACATTTCTACGAACTATCACAATAGTAAACGCGACAAAAAAATAACATATCAAATACTCTATAGATTCGATTCCTATTTAGAGATTTCTTAGCAAAGGAATACGAGTAATTGTGGGCTTTCATTGAAAAAAACTGTACAAAAACATAGTTATCTCTCTCAATCTTCTAAAAAACTGAAATATAAATATTTTTGGTTCATGTGTATTGTCAGTAGTCGCGGTAAATAAAGCTAAAATATATCTATAATCAATAAGGACTCCATGTTAACGCTTGAATAGACATCGTTGTATTGTATTTGCAAAACAGTTATTTCAAAATGTACGTGTTACTTTTCTGTGTAATTTCGTTTATTGTGAATCACTGAAACGTAAAGAGATCTATGCTCCAGTAAAAAGGTTGTTGCTCCGTGAAAAAATATAGGAATTTAATCAAACATTAATTTTAATATCTCCGGATTTTATCAGTATAATATTAAATTATAAATAATCTACAACAAATGTTGACTACAGGCCTTTATAAAATTCATGCAATAACTAAAATAAGTTACTCGTGCAAAAGGTCCTTAAACTGAAAGTCATTTTCAAAAATTATATCCATAAGAATATGTTAAAATGGAAGATTTTATATCTGCGTATGTTTTCGCTTGATATACCTTATTTATTACATATCATATAGGAAGTTAATACAGTATCGAATAAATTGTTTGACCTTGCTTTTGCTCGAGCATTAGACAAAGACAATAATTGATCATATTTATTATCGGGTAGACTTACTCACTACTAATTTACCTTTACTGAAATCAGACCTTTGTGTCAATATGTATTAGCAAACATTCTAACCGTAACCTACCGTAAGGTAAATGATACAAAACTATTTATGGTAAAATTAGGTCGTCAATAAATAGATATCACCGTCTAAATTACATGACTTTTATGTCAACTCTAATTATCTCAATAATAATTACTATGTAATATTTGTTTTCATCGTTATGCTTCATATAGGCATGGTTTATTTGTAAATGTAATGAAGGTCAGCAAGGCACGGGGTATCATTGTGTTTTAATTACTATTATAGCATACATTTAGCAAGAAGATATTGCTATTTTTTTTCTAAAGGCGCTCAAGAGATAATATAACGCTAAGGCTTTGTGAATAATTACTAGTATTATTTATGCCTTTGGTATTCCTAGTAAGGTTCGATAAGTAACATGAAGACGACGTATGGAGAACGATAATTAAAATGCGATTCAAGCTTGCATAGTTTTATTTCGTGGTCAATTGGTCAGGTAGTTTAAACAGCAACGATGGGTGCAGGCGCTGCTACGTAGCGGGCCGCTGGTGCAACGTATGCAGCTGGGGCGGCGACGTATGGGGCGGCAACGTAGGGGGCAGCGGGGGCTACATAGGCGGCAGGCGCGGCAACGTACGCGGCAAGACCGTTGTTGATGCGATGGTAGTACTGCGAGCTTGTAGCGGTCACGATGGGCGCAGGGGCTGCAGCGAATATCGCCGCTGAGGGCTTGGCGCAGGCGATGGCGACCAGAGCCGAAAGGATAACGAACTGTAAAATATTAGAAATATTAATATTTTATGTAAAATCGTTTAAATTAAGAAAGTTTTTTCTCCTAATTAACGGATTGTCCGAAGGAATTTCCACAAAATATGTAAATTAGTTTTAAGGATATATTTACGCATCTCTGGCACAAAACCTTTAACACAAGATTGTCGAGAATATGATATCAATCGGCACAATTCGTAGCTGCGCTACAAAATTATTAAAGTTTAAAACTAAATTAGGACTTTATTTTACTTACGATTTTCATCATTTTGTTGATTTTGGGTTGTTTGTTGCTTCTGTAGAAGAAGATTGATGTCTAGTGTGAGTTAGTCTGATCATTTTATAGTATGTCGCGAGCAGCATGGCGCAATGCACCGCACTCGTCTCCTCTGGCATTGGCCGAGGCGTGATGTGAATCAAAGTAAGGACATTTCGCCACTTTCAGACGAATAATCGGTTCAATGAAATTTATTGGAAGCCTCCTTTTGATTGACGTTCAGGGAAGTGATTGCAGTATTGAATTTTATATTCTCGATGTAGAATCAATACGTTTTAAAGTTCTACCTTTAGCAGCATTCTTAATGAGTGACCAAGAACCAAATTGTGTTAACAATTTATTTAATACTACTCGTATTTATTGTAGTGTTGTGTAACTATAGTTCGTATCAACGCCTGTGAAGCTTTTTATTAACGTAATACATTTCACGCTATAACTTATTTACAAGAGCAAGTATTAAGTTGTATTACCCGATATTGTAGAGTTAATTACTTAGTGTCGTGGCTGCCCATGTGCAAGACGTAATATCTCATGCGCCTTGCTCATGTGCATTATGTACAAGTAAAACATGTTACAAAATATATCATTTGCAAAGGTATGTGCATTAGACATAATAACCTAATATCTGTGAAAATAAAAGAAAATTGTGTATTTTTTATTTCAATTCAATTGGGGTTATTGCACTCATTTCTATAGATGTATAACCATACGTAGTTATCAATTGTGATGTTTTTTCATGTCAGATAAAGTTTTAGTTTTCCATCTCCAACATTTCTATTATAAAATACAGTGTTTACACTCACAAATTCAAGCGAATTTATTCGCATATCAGTTAGATATGTGATCGTTGTATTTCTTATATAATATAAGCAGAAGTTCACAGGAACGTAATATTAAAACAAAATACATATTTTTTGTCATTTTTTTAAATAATTTTGGAAAACATAATTTTTAAAATGTCACAGCAAAAGCACTCGACGTGATTAATCTCAATGGTTATGTTTGAAGCATGTTCGCGAATCGAACTTAGATGAGAATTTGTTCGTTCTTGAATTCGTCCCGTCTAAATGTTACTTTACGGTATTGAAAGGTAGTCGTGTCGTCGTCTGCACACGACACGGCTCATTGTCACCGGCTGGCGACACCCTGCGAGCGGCGAACGAGGGGACAGAAACATATTCCGATATTACGTAACAATCCGCTGCCTTTCATCTTAAGCTTCATGGAATAATGCACTTGATAGGGGTGACGTGAGTATTATCAGTGGAAATAATCGACCTATGAAATTATTATGTTCTAATGGTATTGTACAATTTACTTCATTTGATAATGACAGCTTAAAAGGTCAGTGTTATTTTAGCTTGACAACACGACAATTATATCTGTACGTCGTAAACCTTACACAAATAGCTACAATTTCGTTGCCTCGTTTTAAACAGTCTAAATATAAGAAATCTTTTTAACTTACATGTCAATAACATTTAATGTTGTTTTTTTTTTCATTAATTTACTCTTACCATTTGTGAATATTTCAGTTAAAGAAACTTCGCTCATTCAAAAAAAAATCTTTCGCTACGTTAAGTGACGTTTATTATTTTTAGCTCACACATAGGTAAACATTAAATAATTAAAAGTGACTTCTAACATATTTCATCTCTTAATTCGCAAAAAGTTTATTTGGAATCTTGTACTATTTTTGGATCTCGAAATAATTACGAAATCCTTGTTTCTACGTTTCAGAAGTAGTTAAGATAAATTAATTCAGTGTGAGGGAGTGAGTTTGTCCTTGATTCTTTCACAAAAATACTTCGTGACCACTTTATTATAAGTCAAACCACCTTAACATAGAAAGAATGAAGCTAGATTCTTGTATGTAAGTTGTATTTTTTATTTCATAACTCTATTTGTTCCAGTTTTACTAACAGTGGTTTTTAACGTTATTTTTACATTCAGCAGAATGGTAACTGTACGAAATAAAAAAAAAAAACTGATGATAATCTAAGATCAAGGAAATCAAATAAATTCGAGATTTCCATTCGGATTTAAGTCATTACACGTAAATGGAAGGTATATTTAGAACAAGAAAGCTCTGTATCAAAAGGCGTTGACAAAAATAAACCCAAACAAGTCAACATAACTGCGTAATTCAAAACGTGAACAAAAATTTTCCGTAAAAAATTGTACTTATTCGAAACGCTGCGGGAAGTCGATAGTAAACAAAAGGTAACAAACAAAACAAACAAAACGTAACATACGTAAAAGGTAGTAAACAAAACGTATGTTTGCACGTGGTCGAGTTAGTTACAACTTTCAAACCTTATAAAGTCGTATTAAATAAACGTTGCTTTTGTTTAGTAAAAACTGTATTAGTTCTTTTACTTTTCATATGCTTTGTTGCAAAATTTTTAATGTTTTGATGAATGTTTAACGTTTTAATGTATGCTATATGTCCAAACTAGCTGTTCGCGTGCGGCGTCATCCGCGTGAAATTACAAAAACTTCATTTTATTGTTTACATTTGCGAAATTAATAGCAAATGTCAAAATGACATGACATGACAAACCTTGGCAATCTTGCTTCCTTGATGTTGGGAGCAACTTATGGTCTCTTTCCCACATTAGGGTTTTTATCCTAAATATTTACCCCTAAGTTGAATGGCGTGAAAATATATAGCCTAAAGCGTGACGTAAGTGTAGGGCTTTTCATTAAAAGAGGAATTATTCAAAAATATGCTGTAATTGCTGACATCTTAGGCAACAAAGAAGTGTGTGTTTACGCTTTATTATAATAGTATAGATGTAAGGATTAATTAAAGATTTCATGCCTTTAGCAGCAGTAGTAACATAGAGTTTTTATAATTTTTGACTGTCGCATATTTTGTATATTAAGTCCGTAGAGTGAAATTTGTGTAATTTTTTTTTAAATAAGAAATACACAAAAATTGGACTTTAATTTTTATTTCTACAGACTTAACATATCTAATTGTTTGAGAAAAAAAATGCATCATGTTCGTATTTCAAACCTAAAGCTATTCTTCTTGCTTAGCGCTTTTCATTCCAGCAGTCTGCTTTTTTATTATTTCAATAGACATTACTATCCAACGAATAATAACCGTGTGTGTTGACACAATAGCTTAGATGGGGCGCGTGTAAGACAACTTTAAGGGACAGTTTCCACGGTCGATAAAAGTGTTGCTGATATTTTATATTTTGTATAATTAATTGGTGCTTTACAGGTTGAACAAATTTATAATTTAACTAAGAATAAATATTATAAAACTTCATAGATTCAACAAAGGTAAACGATAAACAGAACCAGAGATATAACTAACGATGAGAATCTAGTCCATAGAATTAGGTCAGTTAAGATAAGACGCGTGTATGTTTCATTACTTAAACATTTTAATTCGTCCGAGTGTCTTGTGGGATTCTTATTGCAAACACTGAAATGTATGACTATCACTTCGCACAGTTATATGAACCTAATTAGGTCATTCTATACGCAAACATCGATTATTATTCTATCATCATCTTCCTACTCCCGTAAGGTCGGCGTAACAGGTTTTTGCCCTCCACATAACTCTATCATACGTCATCTCAGTCGTCACTCCCTTTGTCCCTTTGGTCTATGTAACCTTTAAATTATCCAAAAATCACAGCGTAAAACAAATGTATTTAATTATTGATATTAAAACATAACGTGTAGGCGTAGTCACGTGACCTATTTCCACGTGTTTGTAATCAATTAAATAGTCAGTTATTTTATATTGTCTAGGGTTGTCACGATATTTGTTTCATAAAATGACAACGACAAATAAATAAATAAATCTTCAGGTAATTTAAGTTAGTTTTTTTCTAGATTTTCTATATAGTATTTAGTTTTAGCTTTTATAATATAAACATTTCATTAGGACAATAGACAATATCACTTGTGAGATCTTCTGTAACAATAATACATTTAGGTTATCCGGCTTCTGTTATTCTAAATGCTACACAAAGCTGACATAATTTAAACAATGGAATCATTTCACAGGAATAAAAACTAAAATCAAACTTGAATATGTAGGGTTTTGTACTTTATAGCTCCTTTTGTGATATGATAAAATTCTTATGAAACATATTCCATGTCTCTAATACAAAGGCTTTTGTTAAATTTTTAAGACGCCCTTTTTGTATGAAGGCAGTTTTCTCGGAATTTATTTTGTTGCAATTCTTTTGTTCGTGAGATAAACAGAAATTGAAAAAAAAAACATTGTCTCTGTAGGTTTTCACTTACATACATATTAAGAATACTTTTGGACTATTTCACTTATTCAGAAAACCTTTTAGATTAACGTAATAGGTGTAACGTTTTAAATAAATATTCTATCTAAGCCATTAGGCTACTTAATATCAACATATAGTTATTTTCAAATATTGTCACGGACTCTTTTTTTCCCCGCATTAGTTTTTAATTCTGATAAATAACTTAATGAGTAGATATAATTTGAATTATGAATAATCTTTGCTTAGATTATAATTAGCTTTAGGCAAAAAAATCTTGAAAAAATTGACTCCTCTAATTTTTAAGACCTGGTCAAGCATCAAAACCTGTACGGTTTTCTAATTTTCAGATTTTATTAAGATTGAAGTTAATAAACAATTTACTATTTGAATTAATAAGCTTAAACAATTTAGTCTTAGTTGTGTTTTAGTACAAAGTGATGTATGTGACATTTGTAATTAAAATTAAATTGTTTAGTTTAAAAAGTCTAAGCGTTCGTTAATCCCACGTGACCTCCGTCTCGTGAGCACCTCCTACATTTGACCCGCTGCAAACTAAACATGACACTGTCTACGTGTACGTATTATTGACACTTCTAACATTACACTAATTAATTAAATTAATCGACTATTCGATTTCAATCGAATATAAATTCCGAAAAATCTGTATTTGGAATTCGGCTTAATAGATTACTTTTATTTTCTAAACAAAACTAATTTGCCAATAAATTTTACAGAGATTTATACGACAATAAGCACTTGTTTGCGTCATATCGTTCGGTTTACGGCCGGTTTCCCAGCTACGTTTAACTATTCGTTAGTGTTTTTGGTTTGATAAATTCATGGAATGAGTTTCCAAATACGTAACTTGAGTTCCTAGGTCAACCTAACACTATTGAATCGCTAGGTAATGGAAAAGAAGTGCGAATTTCAAAAACCCAACATTAGTCATTTTAATTTACAACCCGCGACTAATAAATCTTACCAAGATAATGCGTGCTTTTTCTGTCAAAACTTTTATTCGACTCTATTATTTATAACATTGTGTTGAAAATAGTTGCAATGAAACAGTTTATTTCATGGTAGCTTCATTTAATAAATATATTTTTTACATTTTACTCTGTGATGTATCTTACATTAGAACTATATTACATTGTAGGACTTGCTGGGTTGTCGTCGGGCTTCTAACATTCGTGGTTATCAACGAACATAGTAAGTGTAGGGAGATGCGTATGTGTAAGCAGAGTATGCAGCAACAGGCGCGGTGTAGGCAGAGTAGGCAGAGTAAGTAAGCGGCGCGGAATAGGCTGCGGCAACTGGGGCGGTGTATGCTGCGGCTACTGGGTACTCGTATACTAGTGGCTTAGCTGACGCGAAAGCCAAGAGAGCAGCGAATAAAACCTGTAAGGAGAAAAACAATAAGTACTATAAATATACCAAATAACGCCCGGTAAACTGATTTGAATTATGGTCATCATTAGTTCTAAGTGAATATTTCATCTTCTTAGATTTAAGTGTTAGAATATTTAGACAGCTTCTGCAACTTGAAGTCTTACTATTGAAAGATGACCAATAGTTTTTAAAATGCTTAAATTCATATTACAATTAACGAAAGTACTTATTCTATACTTAAGATTTTAATTATTGGAGATAATATTTGAAAAGTTACTTACGTATTTGAACATTTTGAAGGGTTTGTTTTGTTTTCGTAAGTGTTGATATTGAAGGCAGTGGATGTCTACAATGATATCCACTACGAGCTGTCTCTTTATATATAAAAACTTTAAGGTTGTGTGCAATGATGGACGATGGCTGACCGGATAAGTGTCCATAATATCCTCCTAAGACTATTTAGCAGTATTGTCACGCGCAACCTTGAGTACTAGACCAACAAGTAAAAATATAAGGTGAAGGACATAACGACCGTCTGAATACGGATTTCGAACTAGTTCTGTATTATTTCTAGTCAAGTCTATGTGTAGGTTAGCTCGAAATTATAAAAAATAAAAATATTAAAATGCAGCCTATAATATTTTTCTTTAAGTTTAACTTTTTATGTTCTATAGTGAGATTTTACATGTCAACAAGCCTACTGTTGTGCTTTTTTGTACTAGTTTATGATTTGTTTTCATTTGTTCCGACTACCATTTGTTTTCATCGATGGGACACGCATTGGCTGAGCAGCACTTTGATTTCTACGAGAAGGTAGAAAAGTTGGGTGTCTGGTTGGTTTGCTTCAAAAGACGAATTATTTTATTGGCGTGGTATCCACAAATTGCCACAAAGGTGGTCAAAATGTGTAGAAAACAATGACCACTACTTTGAATGAAATGTTTTTTACTTTCCCATTAATAATTAGTGTTTTATTTTCACAAAAAAACGTTCATTACATACCGGTATATCTGGTAATAACATTAAATTGCTACTTACCTTTTCTCATTTACAAATTGTATTGTTAAAACAAAAGTTATCGATCAAATCGAGACAGCAAGTTAAAAATAGTAAATATTTAAGCCAAGCCTACGCACAAGGCTACTGTCCTATTAATATTTCTATTATTATCAGTAAAGTGCCTAGATCTTTAAATCTCTTTAAGATTGCGAAGAGGTCAATAATCCGTTTAAATAGTATTTGTAAGCCTGTGAATAAATTACACTGCTAACGCCTATAGTCATTTTACAGTCTCGATTAAAATAGTCATATGCAAAACAATATCCTATTTATATCACTTACTCTTTTTTATTTATTTTTACAGGGGGCTTTGTTACGAAGCGACGATAACGTCCCATAAGTCTAAAACATACAAAACTCAGTTATCCAACTGCTTTCTTAAACAGATGTCGGCCAACTTAAACACCATCCCGGCCTCGTCCGTAGACCATCACTTACCTTAACAAAGCTTTCAAACTGGTACTTTAGGAAATCACACAGATTGATAGTAATATATTTTCAAATACAATTATATGTCGGGTTGAAAAGACAACACGAGAAGTAGAAATAAAAAAAATACTTCAAATTGTAGAACTGTTTATTTCCATTCTTCAAGAAATAATAACAGCTTTACGGTTTTTTTAAGGTAAACGTTTTTGGGGTGTGTAGTGAATTTTTTTCATTAACACCAATGGACGGGGATGTATGTGTTTCCTCGTCTCCATACTTTGCAAGAAACATGATGTAACCACGAGGAAAATTAAGAACTGAAAGAAATACAACAATTACTTTATACTTTAAAATTTCTTATGTGTATAAAATAATCTATTAAAAATTTTCACGTAACTAACAAACAATTTATTAAAATCGAAATAGATTTTTTGCTAGTGACAAAAAAAACGACAGAAAAAAAAACAGTTTACAACACAAGAAAATTAATCAGCCAGTATTAAAATTTTCTTTCATATCACAACAAATATTTTTAACCTAATAAACTAAAGTTTAAAATAAATATTTTTTTTAATAATAACTTAAAAAAAATTAAATTGTCAGATAATAATGTAAAAAACAGTACTCACAACTTTAAGCAGCATTGTCAATAACAAAAAAATGTACTGAGAACGTGCGAAATTAAGTTAATATACTGTAGTTAATATCGTAATGAGGGCATAAATACCCATGTCGGTGCGAAACTTTTAATCAAGCAAGCCACCGGGCTTAGCGAACTCAACGATAAGGTCTTTAATTACATTGACATGCTTCATTTGCAATAAGATCGACATTCATGGGTACACGATTCTCAAATATTTAAACACTATCACAAATCTTAAAATAAATACTCTACTTGTTTTACTGCAAAGAAACTTTAATTACCAGTATTCGTGGAAGAAATATAAATATGCATGAAAATTGAAATAGATTTTATAAAATTTTAATAATGCTCTTTACATTAATTATACTTATTACATCATCATCATCATCTACCAAACCAATTTAATTTCTATAAACACAATCTAGGGTTTGAATGCTCATCATCATTATCACCAGCTCACTATAAGGCTCGGAGTCTACCCTAAGTAAGGGGTAACTAGGCCATAGTCAACCACACTGGCCCACTGCGGGTTGGTTGACTTCACACATATCTTTGAATTTCTTCGCCGATATGTGCAGTTTGCATCACGATGTTTTCCTTCACCGTAAGAACGGCGGGTAAATTATTATGAATTCTTATAATAAACAGAAGACATGTCTCCTAAAACCACCTAATTAGCAAAGTAATGAAATAAATGAAAATTGCAATCGATTTTCGACTGTTTTGGGATGTTATCCAAAAGTAACAATCCAACAATGTTTAATATTCTAAACACGCACATCAAGGCTGTTGTTCGCAGCAATCAAAGTATAAAACGGGAGAAACGCTACTTACTAGCACATACTCAATCGATTCCTTCGATACCAACCCAACCTCAAACAAAATGTTCAAATTGGTGAGTAGTGGTGAAATAATAATTTGTGCACGTGAATTTTCTCCTCATAGAAAGTTTGGAAATACTATCTCATTTCATTGACAAGGGAATTATTTAAAAAACTAGCCTATCATGAAAGAAAGTTTCAACGACCTTACACATAAGTAAATTAACCTTACTAAAATCTAATACAAACCAATAAAGTGAAAGTTTTAATAAACGTAATTTGACATAATAATTAATAAATGTTAAGTGGTGTTTATTTTGTATTGACAGAATAAAATTGTGAAATATTTCATTAACATAATTTTATGAAAATCTTTTCATACAAAAGATTTAATTAAAGTGTCTCCGTTTAATTATGCAACTTAATTACGTATTGATTTTCATCGTTCTTTAGAGTAGAGCACTTCTTCGAATACTGCTTTATTACAGACACAATTAATAATCACTATTGGATATTTAACAAAAATAAAAAGTCATATTTGTCTCCACAAATTTCTTGAAAATAAACTTCTTTAGTCTTTACTAATCTTTTATATGTCTCTTCCAGTTCATCTTCGCTTGCTTCCTCGCCCTGGCTGCGGCTAAGCCCGGCGTGTTTCCAGTGGCTTACACCGCGCCTGTAGCCGCAGCGTACACCGCGCCAGTAGCCGCGGCCTATACAGCACCGCTTGCCTACTCCGCATACTCTGCCTACACCGCGCCTGTTGCTGCATACTCTGCTTACACATACGCATCTCCTTATGGCGCGTACTACCTTCGTCGTTGATTCTGATGTCTAGCTGCTATATCCGTTGTTAAAATCTAAATGTTTTATTTTTTGTTTTGTTTCCACTTATTGTTGCAGTTAATTGTTTTTCAATGACATTTATTTATTTACAACCGAATAAACAGGCATGAAAACGAAAACCTTTTTCATTAATTTAAAAATATCAAGGTAACTATTACATACACTCTCTTACTTACGATAAATATTTAAAGCAGATTAATCTAAATCCTAGACCACTTACAAATAGTACAAAGTACAATATCTGTTAAGAAATGGAAAAATCTACGATAATATCTACTATTGTTGTGGCCGTATTACGTATCCTTTTCGTATGTTCTTGGAAACAGGGTTACAAAGGAGATTTACAAATATGGCGTCGCTCAAAGTATCAAAGTAGCAATTCAAATAAAAGGTAGCATTCTTTATAGGAATGCGATATCCTCATTTTATATTAGATATTAACTGTTTCTCGCGACTTCGCCCGCGTGTAATTAAAAATACTTGTATAGCCTATGTTACTCCCTGATAACATCGCTTTTTATTGATCGAAGAACCTTAGAAATCGGCCAAGTAGTTTTTGAGTTATCTCAATGTATAAAAAATTCAACAATCTAAAAATACAAATCTTTTCTCTTTATAATATCAGTATAGATACCGATTATGTCGTGTTAATTTTATACATGTTGTATCAAATCTGTAGTGTTGATAACTGAAATCTGAAAACATGTATTATTATTATAATATTGATAAAACTTACAGATGAAATTAATTGATGTGTGTTTAACACCGGTTTCGCATCATACAAGAAGACAATCGGCTTTCGAAGAACAACGAAGGAAACGATAGACCATCAGTAAATTTTGTTTTTAAAATATTTCACAAATTTTAATTTAAAATACGAATGTTATCAAATTGTTTCGTTTGTACGCAATACAACCATAAAGTCTTGTCTGTTTATCAAAATATCAAGTAAACGTTAGTCAATATCCGGTTTTAGCAAAACGTAAACATATTAAAAACTTGTTTTAAGTTCATTAACTTCTAAGGATTTCGCAAGAACTATTTGATATTAAACAAAATATTTTGATGACTAAAAAGTGACGTCTTGTAATCCTTGTTTACGTCTCTTTATCTTTTTTAATTCTATGAAATTAAATTCTAATCGTATTCACGTAATTTATAAAAAAAATATATCATTTTGCAACGGCAGAAATGTGAAAAACCATTATTTGCGTAGGAGCTATCGTTATTTTAAATTCAAAATCGTAGCCCTCAGAAAATAAAACATCGGAGAAAAATTTTATAGGTTATAAATTGTATCAAATAAAAAACAAAAACTTTTGATTATCTAAAAAATGCTTATGTTGTTTGAATTGTTTTGCAAATATTAATTGTGTATAAAACAACGTTGTATTAATTAAGGTTTTTTATAATTGTTAAACTTTTAATCACCTCTAAGTTGAGTAGGTTAATAACATAATTATAATATTTTCCTGTTTTCAAAAACGCTCTATTTTCTTTTAAATGACATGATTTTCTATGATTTCTTGGTAAATTTATCTTCCATTTCTATTATTATTTTACGAAATCACATTATGGAAAATAACAAGTTTTTCCCTGATTTCATATTATAAATTACATATGTATGTATTGAAAAAACTGTTCTCAAACAATTGTGACCTAATGAGCTATTGGTAACAAAATGAGTACATTAAGCTAAATTACTTAACATTAGATAACTAAGCTTTAGTTTGGGCTTCCGAGTCATTGATAGAAAGACTATGAGAAAAGCCATACTCACAGTCATTTAATTTTTAATCAGTCCCTTAGTGGACTCATCTGCACTAACGCCTTTATACATTGTGATTGCGACCATTCCATCGTTAACATTCGTATTAAGATATTACACTTTGTCCTTTTCGTACAAAAATATAATAAACATTCCGCAGTAAAACCCAATATTAAAATTTATAACGTCATCTATCGCGAATATGTTAATGAATTCAGAAACATCGCATTTCTTTTTTATATGTGAGCAGGTAAATAAGGTCATTGTATCATCACGTCTCTTGGTATAAAATGGATCGGGGAACACATTTTGGTGTCAAACGTGAATCTGCTATTGTATACTCATTTACAATTTGTTTTTAAAGAAAACGATTTTAAATACATTTTTTATTTTAAAAAAAACATTAATAACCTCACAAAAAAATGTATAAATTGGTAAGTAGTTTTACTTATTTCTTGTACTGTTCAAAAGAAAAAGTTTAAAGTTTAACTTAGATATTGGCGTCGCGTTACAACTTATCGTGTACTAACTGTTCCCGTGCGGCTTTATCCGCATGGAATTATTAAAAAAAACTTTTCTTTATTGTTTACATTTGTCAAATTCTCAATTGCAATTTTGAAAATTACCGTTACCATAATAACCTTGCTTCCTTAATGTTGGCTTGTCTCTTTCCAATTGAAGGTTTTTTCCAATTTATCTACTCCTTAACTTTAATACCGTGAAAATATATAGCCTAAAGCGTGTCGTAAGTGTAGGGCTTTTTATTAAAGTAAGAATTATTCAAAAATATGCTCTGATTGCTGATATCCTATGCCACGAACTAGTGTGTGTGTTTACGCTTTATTATATTAGTATAGATTACATTGCCTTAGTGCACTTTACATTGATCGTCGTTTATTTAAACTTTAAACCAGTAGGTAAAGCATGATAGAATCCTCAGGCCTCACTCTTCTTCATTATTGGACACAAATGCTATAAACTGACGAAGACAACTTTATATGCTTAAAATGTAAATAAAATTACTACGATTCCGATATTTTGCATTAACTTTTGCGTTAATTGTTATTGTACAAGCTATAATTATGCTGGTATGATATTTTTATTTATTCAAGAAAAAATAAAGAAAATGTATTATTAGACAATATAAATGTTTATTTTTTTGTGACTGATTTGTCACTGTTAGCCTTAAAGGAATTTACAGCTCCACCGGGGGCTCCATTCAAGGGCTCCCTCAGGAGCCTCGGCTCGGGCCGTTACTTCGTTATTATTATCGAAAAAAAAGAAAATCGTATTTAATATATTTTAATTAAATAAAGAAAATCGTATGTAATATATTTTATTATATAATATATTTTGTAGGATGTTATTAAAACTGTATACAGTAACTGGTACCTTTCACCTACTTACGACACCGGTTAAATGCGTCTGTTCTTATTAGAAATTACTAACAATAAATTCCAATTTTCCAGTTCCTGTTCGCATCTTTCCTCTACCTGGCCACAGAGCAGGTCACCACATCGCCCGTCCCACCAGACGTGGAAACGTTCAACGCGCCAGCATACGGCTCCCAGGCCGCACCACTCAAGTTCTCCGACTACTCCGCCCCAGTCGGCACGTTTTCAGATCAAAAATATGCTGAACCATACTCTAATTACTTCGCAGGATAATAAAATTTAGCCTTAAGTATTATTTATTAAGTTTAATTAAATTTAGTTTAAAGATTAAATTGCAGTTTTATTTTGTAATAGAATTGTTTTCTTGGAGATACGTTACTGTGTTTTTGATTGGAAATACATTGATATACCTTGTTTAGAAGAAGACATTGTGAATAAAATTGAGACGGATTTGTGAAGACAGATCTTTTATGAAAAAAAATCTTACGATTTTTGTCCACCTCTGTTGTTTACATGCAAGAAATTAATTTTTTTTTTGCCATTTTCGGTCTTTGTTATATTAAGAAAAGGATAAGTTAATGAACTTAAAAGGAATTTAATCGAATCCGAGTAGCAAAACAAGGAAAGGAATGTTTGGGGACATGATTATAAAGTCGATTATTTACGTCCCTACCTGATATCAAACTTTTAATAAAATCTGATGCTATCGAACTCTATGTAAACTTTATGTATTTGTTGGTTATCGCAATGATCGTGTTAAGGTCGACGACTTCTCATAACAGTAGAGAATAAACATGATCGTTTTCTCATGACCCAAAAATTACAAGATTACAAACTTACATTACAATTAGAAACGAAAACTTTACCAAGGACGAACTTTACTTATAAAGTATTCTCACTTTCAATCAAATATGTGAGATTGTAACAATTCATCGCACGCGGAGTTCGCAACTTAATATTCCGATCAAGTATTTTAAACTATTTCTTCATTACTTCTGTATAAATATCGGCATTACTGTCCTCAGCGGCACAAGCATCTCAACTGTTGCTCCTTCACTTTCAACAAACAAAAACTAACAATGTTCAAACTTGTAAGTATCAAACAAATTACATGATTTTAAATAATAGGTACAATAAGAAGATCGATTTATCTTAACTTGTATGTTTATTTATTTCCAGTTCATCTTCGCTTGCTTTCTCGCCCTGGCTGCGGCTAAGCCCGGCGTGTTGCCGGTGGCTTACACCGCGCCAGTAGCCGCAGCGTACACCGCGCCGGTAGCCGCGGCCTACACAGCACCGCTCGCCTACTCTGCCTACTCCGCATACACCGCGCCTGTTGCTGCATACTCTGCATTCCCCTACGCAGCTCCTTATTCTGCCTACTTCTTACGCCGTTAATTTATTAAAACAAAATAACTTCTTTTGTACATAATTGTATATAGAAAATTTCAACACCTTATTTTGTCAATGACAATATTTTTGTAAATAATACATGTTTCCGTAATAAAATATACCAATTCCAATGTAAAAGGCCATTTTACTTTAATAATTCATTTAATCCTATCTACGTTCCAATGATCAATGGACGTAATCTAAACATTAATGTCTTGTATAGACATGCATGCTAAGTACAGTTGCGGAAATCCGCGGTGATCCACTATGGAACAATTGCCTTATTCATTGCAACGAGACAAACCACGTCTCTTTCTATATTAATAGATAGCATTGAATGAGCATCGGTGGCGTGGTTTATGAACTTAACTTGTAATCTACAGGTCTTGGGTTCAAATCCCGCCATGTACCAATGTGATTTTAATTTTTTCGAATTTTCATATGTACATAATTTACCCGACGTTCTTACGGTGAAGAAAAATCATCGTGATGCAACCTGCACATAATTGGCGAAGAAATTCAAAGATATGTCAACCAACCCGCAGTGGGCCAGCGTGGTTGACTATGGCCAAGTCACACTTACTTTAAGGTAGGCTCCGAGCCCCTCGGTGGGGACGTATAGTGAGCTGGTGATGATGATGATGATTGAATGGTGCAAACGAATTAATAAACAGAAACTAGCCGTGTATACATTAATAAGCTGCGTTGTACTGGTTTTTCTTTCGCCTCTCATTTTAAAATGTTCAAACGATAGTATCTTTTAGGGTGGAATACCGCCAGTTTCTCCAAGTGTACCTTTTGCACTGGCTAGCTATCGTCTACAAGACATAAGCAGACAAGGATCATAAATAACATTTTATTTATCCGTGAGCAACCTGAATACGCTGAAAAAATTAGGTAAAACACGCACATACATCAAACAAAACGAGGAGTTACTTCCACCTCACACTAGACCTCTGTGTGGTCGTGAAATGGAAGTAGAGAAAGGAAATGTTTACTTATCTATTGCCGTGTTCTTAGGTGTTTCTGCAAGGCGATACATCATAATTGCTCTTGCATCCATTACTATAGAGTCCAAGAAGCCTTTTACCTCCTAATTGTTATTCTTCTACTTTATATGCTTATTCTATTTCAAATAAAATAGCGTACAATTCGATCTTTAACTTACATAAATAAAATGCGCTTTTTGAAGATGTATATTGGCAGCGCTCGCTTCACTATTACGGCGAATTCAGCTTACTTGCTACGTGATAAACAAAATAAATTTATCAGAACAATGCTAATTTACGAGGTACGAGATGCCATATTATTTGAAAACGTAATATACGAGTACAATCACGAGTGAGCCTTTTTGCATTCTTCGCATTTTCAAATATCTATGACCCCACATTTCACCACACCTAAAGCTAGAGTCTATAATACCTAATGATATTTTTGATTCCGGGGACATGTGCGTCTATTAAACACCTGAAACTCTATCTAAACTGGCGTGTAACAAGTAAAATATTCTTGACGAATCGTTGACCTTGACATCCGCTTGCTACACCACTGCCCTAATAAACAATTCAAATCATGCCGGACGTGTTTTACCATAACAATTGAGTAACGAATCTTACGTTTTTACTTTTGGCATATAGTTACTTTTGATGTTTTTTAGAAAAAAGTTTTATTTAAATAAAATAACAGGATGCCTTTATTTCTGTTTTAGCTTATTGCTTCGTAAGCACTGCTAATCAATGAGAACAATAAGGAATAAAAAAATCACAAAATTAGTATTCAATAGTTGTATATTTTATGGCAACAATTGACGTTGGTAACAAATTGGTTCGTAAAAACAACAAAATAATAACAAATTTAAACAATAGTTTGGTGAATTTTAATTTGCCTTAATAAACGGATAAGTTGATATATCTGTTACATTTAATATTACATCCATAAAATTATTCCCCGCTGTGATACAATTGTATGTAATATTAGTTTCTTTAACGACGTAAGTAGTACGCGGCGTAGGGAGATGCGTATGGGTAAGCAGAGTATGCGGCAACAGGCGCGGTATATGCGGAGTAGGCAGAGTAGGCAAGCGGTGCTGTGTAGGCCGCGGCTACAGGCGCGGTGTACGCTGCAGCTACTGGCGCGGTGTAAGCCACCGGTAACACGCCGGGTTTAGCCGCAACCAGGGCGAGGAAGCAAGCGAAGATAAACTGTTGATGAAATTAAATAAGATTAAAACGTTTTAAATGTATAGTTATATGAAATTTAATTTCTTGATAAGTCGTTACCAATTATCGAAAACTAATTTTCTTTGATCTTGTACGGATTTTTATCTTACGTATTATATCATCTATTAACTTTTCATAGGTTTTGAAATTTAAAAATTTTAAGTTTATTTAACATTGTAAATTAACTAGTATAATACACAAATATAATACAAAAATGGTCATAATTGTTAGTAAAAAATTAACTATATATATAAAAACTATTTTTAATGTGATTAAGTCTTTACAACAAAAATACTTACGAGTTTGAACATTTTTAATTTTGTTTATGTTTTCGTAGAAACAAACAATACAGTTCAAGTGTGAGTGAGTAATGTGACATTGTACTGGCTGCTGTGTAGCATTTATACTATGCCCTCAGTGAAGAAATTGAGCCGACGTTTCTGCGTAGAATATCAAACCGTTCCGTTCCTTAACAGCTCAAGAACATGCATATCTCCTTACTTGGTCAAATATAAGTAATAAAAAATCGTCCGATAAGAAATAAACATATTTTATGAAGTATGCAAAAAGGCAATGTTATCTTTACATTACAATTTAAATTCTGATTCATATTTATCTTAATTCCATGCATTGTCATACGCCATGTTGAATATATAAAATTATAGTCTTTTTTAACAATTTGTATAAAATAAAGGAAAAAAGTCATGCACTTTACGCCAATATATGATTTATTAATTAGTTAATATTTTCAATCGGAAAACAAAATTAGGTTTTTTTGTTAAGAACGGTTAATTCAACCATTTATGTATATCATACTATTTAGTAAAAGTTAATATTAGCAGAAATTAACAGAGGCCTATATTATCAAAACACTTGAACTTCGTACAAATAAATCATTTGATACGCAGAGCACGTGCACCAACGGCGCTCGGAGTAAAGTATAAAAAGCAATGAATTATTCCTTGCAGTATCACATTCACATTTGCTTTCGAGTTCATTTGTTTTGCATCCAGCAACTTAAAAATCAAAATGTTCAAATTGGTAGGTTCCTAAAATTTTTAATGAAATAATTATGTAGATTCAAGATTCGATAAACATCGCTGACATTTGCACTATACGATGTCATTATATGGAAAAATCAAAGTACCAATTAAAACGAATATTAAAAATAATGTCTACTACTTAAAAAGAAACTTGTGTAAATTTTAAACTAGTTACAAATTATTCTATACAATAAAATTTTATCAAAACAGTGACGTTAAACTACTTTCTTGTCTGTTACTCAATACCAATACGGGTTTAATATAAGAAACTTATTATTTCCAGTTCATCTTCGCTTGCTTCCTCGCCCTGGCTGCGGCTAAGCCCGGCGTCTTTCCAGTGGCTTACACCGCGCCAGTAGCCGCAGCGTACACCGCGCCTGTAGCCGCGGCCTACACAGCGCCGCTTGCCTACTCTGCCTACTCCGCCTATACCGCGCCTGTTGCTGCATACTCTGCTTACACATACGCATCTCCCTATGGCGCATACTACCTTCGTCGCTGAACAATAAATAATTAAAATATAAAATAACTGTTTATTAATGTCCCGAAAATATTCATAAGTGTGGTTGCGTTTGAAAGATGATTATGATTCTTATGGAATCCTAAAATGAATGTTTATCGCTCCATAGCAAGTAGCATTAAACAATTAATGTAATTATTACCAGCGATATTAATTTAACACTGCACTAGAGAACTCGCCAGCAATGCGCTCGACTATTCCAAACCTTCCAATGACATCGATAGCTGTCAGCTCGGGACGTGACGTTTATGCCGACAATCTAGTGTTGAATCATTTCTAGAGCACGGAACTAATTTTCTCCTTAACAGTAGTATGTTATTAGCACACAAAATCGTCTGTCTATTGACCAAATTGTTGAGATATTAGGGAAGGTCGATATTGTGAGCACAAGGAACTGAAAAGCAAGCGTAGATGAATTAATGTGTCAAAGTCGTAAGGATACCAAATGATGGACTGCGTCAAATGGATCTATACCTACTCAGTTAAGAGTTCAGTAAAGATTCGAAAGTATTTACTATAGTACCAAAAAAAAACTTCTTGAAAGAAAAATTGAATAGAATATAGAATGTTAACATTTTACGACTAATTCTAGTCTCTTTTGCATTTCTTGGATTAGTGAAATATTATTGTTTAATATATAAAAGTGTTTAATAGTAGTATAGTCTACAACTGCATCTATAATAGTAAGTATTTTTCTAGATGTAACGTGTTTTTTACGTACAAAAAAATAAAGAAAAGCGGAGGATGCTCTATCGTCGTCGTCGTAAACTTGATTACTTAAAGTAGAGTTACATTAACTCCCCGAGATCTTAAATAAAATACTTTGTTTCTTTAGATCGTTTTTATATCCATGCTAGAATATTAAGGACTGATTTCCTAAGAGATAATGGTTTTTCACCGTCGAATTTTTCAAAATTTTTGCAATTTTTAAATAACTTTTTATCAGGCCTATGTCAAGCAGTGGGCAGACTAACGCTGATGATGATGATCATATTGCTATACAACGTTTAATGTTAAAAATTAAATACCCTATATAAAAAGAAAAAATAAAAGAAGACTAACTAGCGATATCTATAGTAATAGGCATTAGAATAGCATTATAACATTGTCAATTATTTGCACGGAACTTTGCTGCAAAACGTGAACAACTATAGTATAATTAATGTTAATAATCATGGATCGAAATTATTTGCCTGAATAATAAAAAATGCACTTTATTTTACAGCTCCATTAAATCTTCTTTGTCATCATTCATATTTGATTTTACAGTTAAAATTATTAATTTAAATGATAAATTTTAAATAAATATGTCAAACGTCCTATTTCTAAATGAGAGCAGAATCATAAAATAAAGTTTTATTAAAATCAGAGTCACTGGAGTTAAGAGCTACCAGCAATTTTATTTTCATCTTTAAAACTTTGTTTTTGGATACATTAAGTATTTTCCCCTTTAAACAGAATAGCTTATATAAATAGAAGTTACAATTGCTATTTCACATAATTTAATCAAGGGTTTATGTTATACTCAAACATTTCAATTTTTTTTATAACATAAGGTGACAAACAAGCAAGCGGCCACCTGAATCCACGAAGTGGAAAACGACCGCTGCCTATAAACATCCGCAATTGCAGATGCGTTGCCTACCCTTGATTAATGAAGGAGAAGACGCACATAAAGAGGACACTTCCCTTTCCTATGCGTCTCCTCCACCGTAAAAACCACTTTTCTTTTCTATCTGTTCCACTTAAGAAAAGGCTGGAAAGGAAAAGGGACTAAAATTAAACCTCCGGCACCACACTCATCAGACGAAAAGCGGAATTGCTTCCACTTCACGCCTGTTTTCTGTGTATTACCACGGGCGAGCCGGCCCATTCGTGCAAAGATGTTAAAGCGGGCTCTACCACAGATTTAAACTATTTTACTAATTTCATGTTTACACTTCTAATATCCTTAATGAATACATGATAAAATTCAAAAACAATTATTCAATGTTAAGTACCGGTAATTACCTCGACCGCCCATGCTTGTACGGAGCATGATGATCGATTGTTATTCAAGTAAGCGCACCAGTACGGTTTCCTAATCGTCGACAAAGTATATAACTTGATGAAGCGCACTTTTCGATATCATACTATCACTTGCTCTCAAACTAACTTCACTCCAATCCAACAAAATGTTCAAACTGGTAAGTTAATTCAGTACAATTGTTTTCCAGCCAGTATTGTTTGGTCTTTCGCAATTCTTAAAATTGGCAATACTTATATGCTAATTTTGATCTTCATATGTATATTATAAATTAAGAACGAAATATACATAACTTACAATTATTGTTTTTATTTACAGTTCATCTTCGCTTGCTTCCTTGCTCTGGCTGCGGCTAAGCCCGGCGTGTTGCCGGTGGCTTACACCGCGCCAGTAGCCGCAGCGTACACCGCGCCAGTAGCCGCAGCCTACACAGCGCCGCTTGCCTACTCCGCATACTCTGCATACACCGCGCCTGTTGCTGCATACTCTGCTTACACATACGCATCTCCCTATGGCGCGTACTACCTTCGTCGTTAATTTAAACCTTTAAATTAATAAAAAAAATACTAAAAACTCATATTTTGATTTAATGTACCTGGTTTCATCGATTTTTATTTATGTTGTCATTATCATATTGATATGAGCATCACCTAGTTACTCCAGTATACATAAACTTAAAAGATGGACGTATACAGGACGCTGCCCGACAGCAAGCTCAATTGATAAACGTATTCATTTTGTCAAAGCAAAACTAACTAGCTCTGAATAAAAGAAAAAAGAATCATTTTTATTTATCCTGGAAACAAAAACAAAATCATTTAACAGGTGAAAGGTTCCCTAAACATGCATGGGAAAACATTAATACTTTTTCAAAATATACTATTTTAAATAAGATAAACCCATACAAATAATAAAGAATAATGTATTTGTCGTGAACCTGATCAGATGACGATGATGGATTGGTTCTAGTAAGAACGAAGAAAAACCCAAGTTCTTATAGGTACGAAAATGTGTGAAGCCAAAATAATAGACGATCCTAGTTAAGAAATGACAATTAACAAACAAAGCCGTATGGAATATTTATATTCATGTTTAATAGTATCATAATGTTATGAAACTAATACTTCATTTTATTTCTAGACTTTTCCGCATACTTTTTATGTTCACTTGCTTTGAAACAAAGGGAAGACTTTTTGTAATTCACGTGGAACTCAACCACTGACCTACTTTTGACACACCTCTCTCAGACTCTTCGGCGCCACTTAAGGCTTTCTTTCACATACTAACACAACCCTCGTTTGTTTTCTTCTTAATTGACATCTATGGTCGCTAATTTAGCGTATTATTAGTTTCCAAAAAACGAATCTTCAATATTTTTAAAAATAAACGCCTTGACTTCTGTATTACAATAAAGTGTTTAACTCCAAAATCAAGATATATACACACCAGCCTATCTTCATAGTTTGACCATTTTAGTCAATATTACGAAAACCATCAAAATCAGTTCAGATCTCTATTTCTTAGAAGTCTACTGCTATGAGATTTTTATTTAATTAAATAAGATTAGTCATAATACATATATAAAGTATATATGTTATGGTAATTTCAAAATGATCAAATTGAAAGAGTCATTCTGCTACTTTCATTTTTCTTCTGAAAATAACACTTTTTTAATGAATAATACCATGAATTTAACTATTAGTAGATTTTTGTTAATTTAGTAACATTTCTTATACCATTCCCACTATGCTCTAGACTTGTGCTAGGATATGGTTAACGACAATAGTCGAATGGCGGGATTCAAACCCTCGACCACTTGGTCGGAAATCCGTACTCTAAACCATTAGCGTATCGGTGCTTCATTATTATTGAAGATCTATTATTTTCTTATTTTTCAGTAGTTGTATCTTAATACAACTGGTAAATTGATCAAAAGCTTAAATGCCTAGGGAATAGTTTGCTTGAAATGAGTTATCGATCATCAATACAGATGTTATTTCCGATACCTTAAACTAGTTCACGTGTTACATCGATCACGGGCAAATATAAATTACAATTTACACTGTTCACGTGTGAAAACCAATTTAAACGTTTTAAGATTTCGGTCCTTGTTTCTTTTAGAATAGAAGAACCGAATAAACATTACTAGCCTTACAAGTAAACGCGATTTAAGTTAAACTTAGGAATAGTTGGTTTAAGTTAAACTTTAGTTTATTTTTATACCGCATTTATTTGTAAGACTGTTATCCTATATTTCCCTAAGAAACGGTAACTGTAGAAATAGTAATAAATGAGTAAGCAATCATAAAGGTCGATGAAAAGTCTTCCTAAATAAATTTCATACGTAATAGGCTTATCAGTTCAATGATCAAATGAGATGCAATTGATAGTTGGCGCGGGATGCGTTTAGAATGCCAAGCGCGATGCATTGACACTTTACCTGTGCGCCGGCCAAAGGACGAGCTCGTATCGTAACTCAAAGTACGTGTGGCGGTGAATATCATCGCATTGTTCAATCGGCCTTCGTTATTCACTATATATTCGGCTTCAGGTATTGTCTTGGCATCATTAGCTCAGCAGCAGCAAAGATATCCTAACAATCAAAATGTTCAAACTGGTAAGTAACACGGCCTAAGACTTCGACTGTAGTACAATAGATGAGACGATATCTTAACATTGATGATAGCAACAGAGTTTTAATATCATCATATTTAACTGTTTTTTAAAAAAAGAAAAATTATAGTAGCTGGCATTAACTTACTGATTAACAATCTACAATCATAGTCAATTGTTTTTTATTCATTGAAGTCTTAAATTCTTCAACCTAATTTGTTGTTTTATTTTCCAGTTCATCTTCGCTTGCTTCCTCGCCCTGGCTGCGGCTAAGCCCGGCGTCTTTCCAGTGGCTTACACCGCGCCAGTAGCCGCAGCGTACACCGCGCCAGTAGCCGCGGCCTATACAGCACCGCTTGCCTACTCCGCCTACTCTGCATACACCGCGCCTGTTGCCGCATACTCTGCTTACACATACGCATCTCCCTATGCTGCATACTACGTTCGTTGAAGATCGAAAAAAGTTTGAAACCAAAAAAATATCGGATATGATTAAAATCGAATAAATCATCAACAAAACCAATAAAGTGATTTCATTTATATTTATTCCTTCCACTTTTACACAGGCGTCAAAACTAAAACGGATTGAACTAAAAATTGTCATTTACACTAATTCCTGATATTTTTTGCAAATGATATTCACCTAAGTATAGTTATAGACAGTCTCTTATAATTGCATCTTTATCATCGTGCATCATTCAAAGTAATACACGATTATTGAATCTGTCAGAGGCTTAGTAATAAAATTTTAATTAATATTCAAGACAATTTGTACATACTTAGAATACCTGCCTTCTAGAGTTCTGAAATCAGACAGTCCTTTTATTTTCTATCTATACATGTAACAATATTTCAGCCTTCAAATGTTATTTTTAAAGTGTTACTAAAAATAATTATGAAACTTGTAATCTTAACATTGTCAAATATTTTGTTTAATATTCACAACCATGTTTACAATTTTCTTTAACAAATATATGAGCGTGTGATTTCAAAATGAAAATTAATTTCGTACATAGGTTTGAAAACTGTTATCCTCGAGCAAAACAAAGAATTTCAATAAGTAAGAGTCTGCTAAGCCTAAATTATAATGCCTCCGAACAGTGTTTAAATTTGAGACTAAAGTGCGTTTATACAAAAAGCCTCTAGGCTTATATTCGATGAATATTTTATAGCTATTGTCAATGCCGAAAGGAAAGTGATGTAATTCTAGTTTAATATAATCAAGAGTTACTTGTAATGTAAACATTTTAGAATTATCCGATACATCATTTTGATCTTAACTTATTGTATTTGAAGCTCTATACCTACCCATTTTCTTGTCTTTTATTGTACTTACTTTGCACATCATCATCGTCAACTCGCCCTTACCCCTTCGGAGGGTCGGCACAGTATGTGCTGCTCTTCCATACATTTTTATCATATATCACATCTGAATCCACTCCCGTCTTAAGTGTATCCTCTTTCACACAACCTATACATACTTTCTTCAGTCTTCTAACTTTGTAGCCATCCACATTTAATCATAATACTTTCTGATTTATGTCCCCATTGTCTCGTCATATAACATGTCCATACCACGCTATGCATATCTTACTAATTATAAATACAAATGTTTAGATGTATGGTTGGATGGATGTTTGTTACTTAACGGTGAAACGGATCTTGATGTAATTTGGTATAGACATATAATACAGTCTGGAATAACATAGGCTACTTATGAACCTGAAAATGTGTACCGTGTCTTTGGGATACGTTTGATTCACATATTTACTAACGAGCGTCTCGAGTTAAAAGTGATAGAATTTTTTATATTTACAATATTGCGAAGACGAAGTCGTGGACAAAAGCCAGTTTAGTAGAGCGAGCAAAAGTCATGGGAACTTCCCATTTGGCATAGTGTATTTGTGTTTATACCTATATTTTATGCATTTCGTTAATTTGCGTAACCTAGAAATGTTTTACTAGTTATCCGACCATTCTCAAATTATTATCCATCGGTTCCTAATACCTTAACATGTATAACAGTAAAAATTAAAAAGTAAAACTCTTAGTTAATACTATGCGAATTTTCAAGATCAAATGGTTACTGTTGAAAAAATGATGATAACAATCATTTTCTTTACAAGGACGATACACCAATAAAAAGGCCTACTTGAATCAAGCACATTGACCTCTAGTCAGTGGTTGCTGCAACCGCGCTCGGCCATAGCAATAGTACCCCAAGCACGCGCGCGCTGACCTCTGACGCAACGTATGACGAGCTTCCAGCATGCTGAGTGGCCAGCATAATACAAAAGCAAACCAAGAAGATTTAACCACTTCTGATTGTAGCCTTTAAAACATTACTGAAATTTACTCCTTAATATACATTTTTCTCTGACTCAAAATAAACACAACTTACACTGTTTTTATGTATTTAACCTAGCTGAAATAGTTCAGACCAGCACTAGATCAATGTTATCTATAAAACCGTTAATTGTATGTAATAATTAATATAAAGTACTTAGTGCTATTACATTTAAATTCTCTTAACTATTGAATTTTTAAATCATTTGTTTTCAAATAAATATTTTTTCTGTATTGTAAATTACTGCTTCACTCTTGTTGAACTCTTTTCAAAATGTTAGTCTCGAATTCGGAGCACCGCCGTGACTCTCGGCAAGTTAACACACCCTCGCAGGAAGAATAATTTAATTCTTTGCTCGGACTATTTAAACTCTGAGTTCGTTTTTATCGACATCATTCACTTTTCTGCAACAGAACAAGTCGAATCTTTTCAAAATGTTTAAACAGGTAAAGAACAACATAATACGATAATTGGCAAATGTCGCTATTATCAAAATGGACTTGAAGCATGATTATAATAACTCAATTTACATTAATAGTCGTAATTTGTAACGACATAACACAAAAAGTGACTGTTAAAAAATGTTACTAAATGACTTACATTTAAATTCATTTAATTTTTATTTTCCACAGATCATCTTTACCGCCCTCCTCGCCGTGGTTGCTGCCAAACCCGGCATCCACTCAGTTGCATACCCCGCAGCCCCTGTGGTTGCCGCAGCATACGCCACCCCTGTTGCCGCAGCATACACCGCACCAGTTGCCGCAGCGTACGCCGCCCCCGTTGCCGCAGCCTACAGTGCCCCAGTCGCCGCATACGCTGCCCCCTACGCCTACAGTTCACCGTTGGTGGCGGCCGCTTACAAAGCTCCAGTTGCTTTCCTGAAGTGATAACGATCTCCGACTGACCGATACATGATTAAATAATTATGAAGTTAACTCAAATGTTTTTTCTTCCGTGCCATTTAATGTATAACGATAGGAATTTATTTGTTTTCTGAATTTCATAATTACAGTGAATTCCAGCACCATTTTATATTATAGCACTTCTTGTAAAAGTAGTAAATACTGTGCCGATCTACCTTGGATAAAAGGACTGGCAGATGATCATGAACACTTCTCATCAGAAAACCAATGTCTGTTTAATTAAACCTGTTGTGAGGGAATTCTTATATAAATTAATTCTCGATTATAATCTTTGTACGTAATTTACCCGTAAATTAGCAAACAATTGAATTGTATGACATCATAGTCAGTGGTTAAGTATTACCGAATAAGAGGGTTTGTTGGACGGCGGCATCCTGACGTCATATCTACCGCTGTGTCATGTCACTACAATTAATAGGGAACATAGGAAATTATACTGAAGTCTAAAAAATATAGACTAACTAGCTTTTGCCCGTGACTCCGACCGCTAACTAAAATTTAGCTAACTAAAAAAAAACAAGAGTAAATAACCTATGTGTTCTTCTAGACTATGCTCTACATCTATGCCAAATTTCGTCCCGATCCGTTTAGCAGTTTAGCCTACAAACTCTAACAAACACCCATCCAACCAACCATCCATCGAAACCTTTGCAATTAAAATATAAGTTTGATTAAAAATACGCTGTGTGTACGTATAACTGATTTTGTAATTAACTTTGGAAGGGAGGAAATACAACTTTGAAACGCTCAAAATGTCTGCGACAAAATTAGAACCACTTTAACTTTGCACATTAGGGAGTCCATTCTACTTTCGAAACAGGAATCAATTGTCCGTAAATGAATCCTTTTTTTAACCTACTTTTGTTAATTGAATTTATTTTCGCCATTTTAAGAAAGAATTCCGCTATATGGTTTGTTGAACTCAGTCCTAAATACCAGAACCTAAGTCCGAAGCTTATTGTATCTTAAAATATTTAGTCTATCCTGTATTTCATTTAGTTATGTGATTGTGCTGACATATCTAGTGAAAAGCATAATTAGTATTTGTACTACAAGTTGCTTAAAAAAACAATATGTAATTATTTATTATTAGATTTGACCTTAATCCGGGCTTTCTTTTACTCTCCTCTTTCCTGTACGCAATAAATGTAGGACAATGTCAATAAAATACTCAATGAACAGAGTTCAGGGCTATTTTTAGCGACCTTTATTGGCCGCTATCCGTTAAGGATGTAAACAAATTAAATGCGTCGAGCGCAGACGAATCGAATGTTCTACACGGACTATGATACAAATGATTAGATTTTTATTTTAGACAGGGTGTTACAAAACTCTTATAGATTTTTAATTGCACACTAACTTGGGCGCAAAGGTTTGAAATAAAATTGCGCGGTAAAAACATCGAATTGATATAAACTTAGTTAACAATAATGTTATCAAAATAAAGAGGTTAGTTACCGAATGTAGTTACAACATTATATTACACACTCACCAGACTTCTTAACTTTTTTGGTCGTAATTAACATAGTACTACGAAATTCAGTAAGACAATGCTTATCTATATATGTTGGCTACAAGTAAAAATATACTTGAAGGGTTTTAATAATATGTTAACAACAATGCCTCTCAACTCACAATTGTATTGAACTTTGTGAAGCAAAATTTGACTTTATTATTCTCTCAAGAGTGATCACGTAAAATTCTGAAGTCCATAATTACCGATAATTTTAATCCACTTAAATTAACAGGACCTTGTGAAACATCCTGTATTTGATTCATTAGACCATGTTGTATTCATATCAGGTGCGTTAGTCCCGTCAGCGATTGTCCTTGCGATGGAGCCGCCAAGAGCGATGCCAACGGGGGACTACATCCTATATATTAGCCAGGGTAGAGACACTCGATTCAGTGTCACACAGGCAACCGAAACAGATTATCAATATGTTCAAACTTGTAAGTACTTTTTTCCTTTGCACAATTATAAGGTGTATTAGTGATTTGTATAAAGCCAGTGTTTTGATAGTGTTTAAAAATGTTAGTTGTTTGCATTTAATTTGCTCAAATCTATTTGAAACCATTGCCGTTTTAGCATCACTAAGAAACCCTTTTTTCAAAAATCTTACTAAGCTTTTTATATTCTTTGTACATTATTAATCAAGTGAAGTGGACTTATTTTTAACTAGCTATTGCTCGAGAGTTTACCCGCTTGAAATGAAAGAATATAGCCTATGTTACTCACAGATACATTACTTTTCTGGCGGTGAAAGAATTTTTAAAATTGGACCAGTAATGTTTGAGTTATTTCAATGCATACAAAAATACAAACCTTTTCTCTTTATAATATTGGTATAGATAAAGTAAAATATTTTAATCTAATTCAGATTTTTGTAAATTGTCTTCAAAAAATATTGCCATTTGTAATAATCGATTCAATTATGTGCCCCAAATTGTTTAGTCCTAATTAATGCCAGTGCTATTCATACTAAATTAATATTTGAAGAGAATTTTAACAGCTTTTAGTTAAACTTCTAGTAATTTTGAAATAGACTTATTTCAATGACGTAACTCATTAAAGAAATGTAATAATCTCTATATTCAAGAGTTCTTTGGTCGACCCTTCGTCCTGTTTCTATTCGTTCACATTCAATCAAAATAACTTACAAATACTATTTCGTGCTACTTCAGACTTCAAATATGTTTCTAAAAACCTTTTCTTCGTGCAATATGAAATAAATCTTAAAACTTACGATGTTTAACAATAGAATCACACTAAAATATTAGTAACTTCGCATTTATAATAATAAAAGCGAAAGGTTAGATGGATATATGAATAGAAGGATTGATGTTTGTTAGAGTTTGTAGCCTAAACGGCTGAACGGATTTCGATGAAATTTGGTATAGATCTAGAAGATAGTCTGGAAGAACACATAGGCTATTCACTTTTGTTTTTTTTTAATACCACGCGGACGGAGTCGCGAGCGAAAGCTAGTAGTTATCATTACTGCGCATATCTTTTGTTTAGAACTACTATAACATTTTCATTATCTCTGTATTTTACATTACATTAATTAGCTTTTCTTTTAATTGTTTTACCTAATATGTCAATGTCGCACCCATATTTCCATGTACCCAAATTGAAATTCAGATCTCAGATTATTCAAAAAATCTCTAATTATTCAAAAAGTCTCAATAACCACTTATCCAGGTTGTCACAAAACAAAACACAAGCCTGTGATAAAATATTTTGTTCTTTTGACTTAAAAACTCAATAACCACTTATCAGGGTTGCCACAAAACAAAACACAGGCCAATAACAAAACATTTTTTTCCAGTTGTTGTTCGTCGCTCTCCTGGCATTCGCTACAGCGAAGCCTCTGGTGTATAGCTACAGTGCGCCTTTAGCCGCGTACACTGCGCCAGTCGCCGCTGCTTACACCTCGCCTCTCGCATACTCTGCGTACTCCGCGTACTCGCCCGTCGCATATTCCGCTTACACATACGCCTCGCCCTATGCCTACTACGTTTAAACGAAACTCCCTGATTTCAAGATACTCTACGATACAATTGTTGATTATTAAGTTATTACCTTGCTTTACTGTAATTTAATGCAAATTATAATAAAATGATTGCTCAATAAATTTATTATTTTTTTAACCTACAAAATCTTAAAATAATATTCATTTGTACCTAAAAATTTGTATAGATGTTCGTTCCTAAGAGGATAATTTAACTTTTGATTAGAAGTTATAATAGTTGAGAATGAGAGTATTCCCCAAAAAGTTAACTAAAAAGACACTGTCGGTTATAATAGAGCAATACATACGTTACGTAAAATTGCAATTCAAGCATGGTAGGTGCATTGTTTGAAAAGTACGTACAACCATTTTAACACAAATACGAAGTAATCATACGAATTAAAGAATAACAAATAAAACCAATATAACCTTTTTAATGAACAATAAATTTAATTTAATAAAACAACAGTTACGTTTCTAAAACGTTAGACATAAGAATAACATAGCCAAGTAACATATTTTAATAGGTAATTTGCCATAATTTAACAAAATAAATCTTTCAACGATAGTACAGATCAGTCAAGGTGTAAGGAAGATTATACGGCAAAGGTACACTTAAATAGTCTTGTAGATTTAAAGATGAACCATACGAATATCTGTAATCTGATACCGATGCGTACGGGACTGCGGCGTATGATGCAGGAACAGCTTGAGCCACAGCCGCAACTGGGGCAACTGGAGCAACTGGAGCAACTGGAGCCACTGGGGCAACTGGGGCAACCTGTGCTACTTGTGGTGCTACTAAGGCCGCAGAAGTGAAAGGAGATGCAAAGATACTGGAGCTATATAACAGTGGTTCTGCCGCTGTTGAAGTTAAAAGTGCTAACATCGTTACCTGGAATAAAATAAAAAATAAATCATATTATCACAGGCCGATTAAGGTGAAGAAAAAACGACAAAAACATTTTCTTACTACGTGTATCTATAGAATTTACGTTTGGTCACAATGTTGAACTTATCAAATCCCTATAACCAATTTAGTATGTTTGACAATTTTAATACAAGAAAATTTAGTTCTTTACCAACACTAGTCATGTTCCTGTACTTATCCCATTGTATAGTGTTGAAATTAATTAAAAACTATACTTTTTTAGTTCACGAAAACGCTAAATACAAGTGAAATAAATGAATTCTTACCAATAATATCTTATCCATTTTGCAAACGTTGTCTAAGAACTGAGAATTTTTAAAATACTGTCTATAACCGAGACGTCCTGCGTTATATATTTGGTGGATGTTGTATAGAAACAATGACAAACACTTGAAAGAATCATCTACTCGTATGGTATTGTCAAGGCCCCGCTGAATAGTCTGCCAGGATAACAAAAGAATGTATTATAAACTTGAATACTTACTCGTTTCCAAAAATCGTTTCATATCGACCTTGCGTTGTCGTCGTCTAGTTGAACAATATTCAATGAGTTTCAAGACATATATCTATTTGTTATTAACATCCTGTTTAGACAAAACAAACAAATGCAACGGATGACTTTACAACGAACGAGTAATAATTAATTTCGTAAATGTCCAGATCTAGTAACAAAGGAATCTTATAGTTAGCATGAAAATAAAAGATTTGGACAGTCAACCCCTAGAAATGGGAATAAATCGAGGTAAATTACATATTGAATTACGAATTACTAGGTACATCTTTGACTCTAGAATGTTACCAAAATTGATTCACAATTTAACAAAATTCCTTCGTATTTGTACAGTACAGAATACAAATTGCATATTATACATGCATTGTTAACTGCAAACTAGATTTATTAACATTATTTATACACCGGGTAACCTTGCTTTACTAAATGTACATGTTTAAATAATAACTATACTAAGAGAATTATCTTATTAAGCTCGCTACAAACGCTCAGTACTACTTGAACATTCGAACATTGCATATAGTGACAAAACTTCAATTATATAGTAAAACAGACAGATTTTTTTCCTACACACTCTCAGTGTTAACTGAACAATTCAACTCTTTAGTTAGAACAGAACGTCTGTAGCGGGCTTTAAATTGTAATTAATGCAATTCCTATAAGCCTTGGTAACACTGCCTCAGTGACTGATCGTTTATGTTTTAACGTTTCGTAACTGGTGTTTAATTCTTGAATTATATATTGACAACATTAATAGACTTAGAATTAAATGTAACTAAATTAAAAAAAAAATAAAGAGTAAAAGTTTGAATACTCTTTACGCCCACAGTACTCATACAAATCGAGGAAATAATAAGAAATGTAGATGCTGTACAAATTTATTTAAAACGTAAGGCAAATCGGATCATGGTTAGCTTGGGTCTGTAGTCGAGTTAACGGACATAGTAGTTGTAGGCGTATGGTAGTGCGGCAGCGTAAGGTGCGCTGTAAGCCAGGGGAGAGTAGGCTGAGTAGCCGACGGGCAGGACCGCTGGAGCCGCATATGCCAGAGCGGGGTCTGCCTTCGGGTTGGGGTTGGCGAAAGCCACCGCCAACATAGCGAAGAGGGCGAACTGCGAAAAAAATATTTTTTTTTTAAATGTAATAGGAAGGAATAAGTATTTTAATCGAAAAACTATAACTAAACCATACGCAAGATGCTGAGGCAAGGGTGCAAATGTTCACTACAATTTTTTTAAAATTTTTAAATTACTTCACTTTCGCCTTTACTTGTGAAATACATAAACATTTCTTTCTGTTGTATAAACAATAAACTGTAAGTTTATTCGTCTACCTTAAAATACCTTAATATAAACTGGGAATTATTCTGTTATAGTAAACAAACAAATTATATTCCAATTCAATTGAAAACACGTGATGTTTGACATCTAGCATCTTCGGGGCCCTCTGTGTAATAGACCGTGTAGACGTCACGCGTAAATCAAAGATTTCCATAAGATAGCTTTACTTTATCTATCAATATTAAAGGTGAACCTTCGTGAAGCTGACAAAGTTAGGTCACACAACTAAATATAGACAACTAAATAGACTGGAACGTAAAAGTATTTCGAATAAATATTAAAAAATAATTGAATAAATCAATTTAAGTACGTCTGGGATAGTAAGTCATCGCATCGAAAGGGCTTTTATTAAATAAATATTGCATAACCCAAATGTCATTTACAGAGTATTATCGAGTGCGCAGTTCGTATTTGCTGAAGGTGAATCTAATGTCATTGCTTTAAGGACAAGCGTTGATTGGATATCTTTTGGGACTATCTGTATATAAAAATCGAATTGCTGCGATTTTAACAGAAAACCGATGAAATAACAGTGTTCCAAGAAAACAGATGCTTTATATAGATGTAACATTTTGCGATGATTAACTACGTAAAAAGTTTCAGTGAAATCATTGTGAAAATAGAGATTTTTCTCCAAAACAGGATTTTATAAATTAAAATAGGATATTTACTTGTCCTTGTCCCGTTAATGTCTGAAAACTTTGAGATAAATTTCATTTCACATTAACAATATTAGGTTACTTTTTAATTAAGCTGTATTCTAATTTAAGCTAAGCTTAGAACTTAATAACTTTTTTCCAATTACAAAATATTCATTTCAGTATTGAATACTATATATGGCAAATTAATGGCCTCAATGTATTGAAAAATAACCCCTTGAATGGGTTGATGATCGTTATTTATACTTTTATTAATGTTTTTAACTTACCAGTTTGTAGAACATTGTTAAAGGTTTACTTGCGTACTTGTCAAGTGATACTGATGGATCAGCAGGCAGCGTTTATATATGGATGTATAACGACCACGCCTCGCGATACAAGTAATGTAAAAAGCGTCCTTGATCTTCAGAGCAACAATGTACCGCGTACTCACCTAGTAATTAGATATGTATAACAAACATCCGGGTAGGACATGCTCCCGATGACAAACTCTATCTGTGACAATATAGCGATACATAATCTGTATAGATTTTACCGCGTTTCTATTACCAAAACTCTAAGAAAAACATGTCATTTTTTATAAGAATTTTGATTGTTATTAAAGAAAATCAGATGCTGATGTTATTTGAGGTGTATTTTGGCAGTGGAAATTTAAACGTCAGTTAATGAAATAAATTTAAAAAATCGCGTGGATGATTAAAAGACAAAATTTAATGAATTAAACAGAAAAATAGGGCCATTGTAGTAGACTGCAGCCTTGTCACCCATAACTTAGAGTAGGCTCCGAGCCCCTCAGTGAGGACGTAAAGTGAGCTGGTGGTGATGTATTAGATACCTTAATCATACTAATATTATAAATGCGAAAGTTTAGATGGATCTATGGATGTTTATTAGTTTGTAGTCTAAACGGCTAAACGGATTACGATGAAATTTAGTATAGATGTAGAGATAGTCTGGAAGAACACATAGGCTACTTACTTTTGTTTTTTATTCCACGCGAACGAAGTCGGAGGCAAAAACTAGTAAAAATATAAACTTCAGCACATCATCACCAGCTCACTATAAGTCCCCACCAAGGTGCTCGGAGCCCGCCCTAAGTTATGGTGACTAGGCCATAAAAATCTTACTTCTTACTAATATTATAAATACCAAAGTTTAGATGGATAGATGGAGTATAACAGTCTCGAAGAACACGTAGTACATAATTTTGTATTTATGAATGTTTGTCTATGTAACTAAATATTTTTATTCAATTTGCTCAACTTTATTGTCAAGTACATCTACATTGTTAAAATATTACATAGTTGTATTTACTTGTATATAAATATGTATTAATGTTAATTGTAAGTATTATTTTATTTACATATATTAATAAATGACTAAGTTATCTAAATTAAACACTTTTTTATTAAAACATTAGGTTAAGATAGTACACGTTAAATGTTTTTCTCACCTTAGAAAAGTTTTTCATCATAATGTAGTTTCATTGGCGGAAGTAACTATGGGGTCGTGATAACGTAGTTGTGAATAATTATAATATTTACGTTAATTAATTTTTGATAAGACAATAATTATCTTCAATCAGTTTTATTTCATATCATATTATATGAATAATTACTCAGTTCATTAAAAGAAGTTACAGAACATTTTCAAGTTGTAAGATAAAGAGATTAGTAAAGCGGTTAACGCCTATTTTACTTCTCCTGAATAAGTACTTTAATCTATCTATCTATACTAATATTATAAAGAGGTAAATTTTGTTTGTTTGATCGTAATGAATAGGCTCAACGCTACTGGGCCGATTTTAAAAATCTTTTACCGTTAGAAAGGTAATTTATCTGCGGGTAATATAGGCTATAATTTTTCACTTCTTGATTTTTATTTTTTTAAATTTCATGCGGACGGCGTCGCGAGCAAAAGCTAGTACTAATACAATAACGTAAATACGCACTACTTAATTAAGTAGGAGCAATCAATATTTTAAAAATGTGAACAATTATGCGTGCTGATGAAACCGCACGGGAACAGCGAATATTTTAATAAGTCCTGGTAAACCCTGGATTTTCATAGCTGTACAGTTAGTCATGGTATTGTTTAAACTCAATATGTTCATATTATATTTGTAAATATATGCAACAGAGACAAAAGCTTAACGCACTATTCGCTATTAATATTCCGTTGACATTTGATTCGTGTCGTTTAAATTCGGTCTACGGTTAGGAATGCGTTATGTTAACCGATCGACGTAATTTTAAAACGTTAATATTAAAACAATTTGAAATCCAACACTTGCAATGACTTCAAGCAACATATATGCTTTTAACTTGAAGATTCTAAATACTAGAATTGATTAAAAAACAACGTAAAATTTGGTTTCCAAAACCCAGGATACTGAAAATATTTATACAACTAATGTTTTTATTTATTGTATGCCAAAAACCTAAATCCCAGATTTCGTGAAGAATGGCTATAAACACATATTGAAGATATTCTATTTAACTAGTATGCGGTAACACACAAAAAAAAATTAAAAACCATACAGAAGAATTGAGTACTTCCTTCTTTTGGAAGTCGGTCCAAAAACCTAACGTAACATTCATCTATTGCCATCGCTCCAATTCGTTTATTAAAAAGCAACAAAACCACTTCAAAGGTCAGTACAGGATAGGGAAAAAGATGTGGTAGAAATCCAATTTCAGTTCACAGAAAACACGAAGTGAGCAGTTTAATTTTATGCATTCGTGATTGTGACAAAACCAGAGACTGTATGGCGTAGAGATGTAAAAATAGATAAGTAACATTCGTACTATGTACAGTCGCGGATGTCTGCGGTGTTCCTCATATGGAAAAAATGTCTTGTTCATTGCAACAAGACATACTCCGCCTCTTCCTACAAATGACTAATTAGATACACTGAAGCGCTAGTGACAAACCATTGAGGTTTATTTAGCGTTTTGTATATTAAACTAGTTTTTATGGTTTTGCATTGTTTAAAGAAAAAAAAGAATAAGTAAGTAAATAGCGGTGAGTGGTGCAAATGAAGAGAAACTAGCCGTGTATCAGTAACCGACTTTTTTTTATCAGACACATTTATACGCCACAGCGTAATAATTGTATTGTACTAATTTTTGTTCCGCGTCTCTTCATAGCTTTTAAGGTAGAACACCGCTAGATCCCCTAACTGTACGTACACATAAGTATTTGATACTAAAGTTTTACCTTATAACATAAATTTTAGTATAAAACAAAAACTTAGATTAATTACTTATTGGATCCTAAGTCAATGTCAAGAAAGCAAACATGGGCCAGTGTAGTCATAGTCAAGGTCATATCATAGGCTATAGTGGTCATCGGCATCTCTATCTGTTTAATTGATTTGTTGGCAATTATACCTTCTTATAGTTTCACAATTAATCAAATGTATGCTATACTGCATGAAGATTTATTAATTATGACCAGACTTTGTTTTTCCAGGCGTTCCTCTACACTTATCCCAAATTTCATCGTGATCCATACTAGCAAATCTCCGTCCATCTATACTTTCGCATATATAATATTAGTAAGATTACGATTTTGTCGGTTGATTTCTCTCAACTTTTTATTACATAATCTAATATATCTATTTGTATCCCAAGGATGTCTCATTCTTAGCTTTCAATAGACGTATTTTGTATTGATATGAAATCTCTAAAAATACACCTGAGTCTTGAAATATATTTTTAACGTTAATGTATTACGTTTTATGTCGTTTCGAGAAACGTGATGGCCAATTACATACACAATTGTGCTATAATAGGCAAGAAACCAAACTCTATAATATCTAATCTACATTAATTTAGTTATTAATTTAAACTAAGTTGACTTGATTACAATATTGTAGCAATATTACGCTTACTGGGATATTAATAGGTATCATCTCTTGGCCTTCGTACGGAAAGTCGAGATCGTACCTGAGGTACATACTGTACTGTACCATACAGGTACAACTCTATTAGTCGTCATACGTCGGAGATAATCAGTGAAAATAAAAAATAGTGTAATTTACAATTCAAATTTAATCCAATATACAAATAAACAAATCAAAACAAAATAAGGCCGATTAACAATAGTAAATGTAAATACACTGCGGTATCCTCCTAATAGTATCCATAACCGAGACTGCTGTAGGGAGATGCGGCATAAGTTCCGTAGCCTCCATAGGATACAGACGGGTTGGAGTACCCGGAATATCCGTAGTACCCAGGGTAGCCGGCGGCGGAGTAGCTACCATAGCTATAGCCAGGGTACACTTGAGGTCTCGCGAAAGCGAAAGCCAGGATGGCGAACAATACAACCTGCAATAAAATCGCTGTTATAAAATGTTGCTTTTTAAATGAACGGAAATGTGTATATACAATTCTTATATGTCATTTTAGATCAAAGTTCAGCAATGATTTGAAATCACTTTTGTTCTTTAATATAACGCAATTACTGGGATAAAACTTTAAAATACTTTACAATGAACGGTTACTGAAGATTATCATTGTTGTTAAATAAATTCAATCATAAAAAAAATATTGATTAAACTACTTTAATTTGTTACTCATTACTTAATTAATTAAGCATTCTATAAGAGTTTATCTCTTAATAAATAAAATTTAAACATCTTAACAAAATGACTACTCACCAGTTTGCCGAACATTTTTAGATTGTGTTATTGTAAGCTTGTAACTGTAAGCTTGCAAAGAATTGTACTACGAAAAATTATAATTTACTTCAATATTTATACTGGCTCTGTGTCCTTGGAGCGTCTTCGTCCATAACGGATAAAAACAACACAAAGACAATGATTGGGAACGTATGTAAATCGGGTGCACACTACGAGAAATATATACGAGGTCCACATCGACAATTAGGTCGCCTTTGTCTCGACTCAAACTATTCTCCATTACAAATACGATACCTGATACGAATATAGCAACAAAATTAAGTTTTATTGCACCTGCATTGACTATGCCTAAATTTTTCTAATCGACAATACCTTAAAAGCAGTACAAAATTTAGCATTGTTAATATTTAGAAGTATGCTCACTAGAGCACTGCTGCTGCTGCTCAGTAAAACTATTTTACTCAACAAAGATTAGCTGAGAAGCCTTACTAATGTGGCGTCTCTATATGGTAAAAGTGGATCATAGACTTAATTTAAGAATCATTCAACTTTGGACGCATAATTAATTAAAAATTAAAAGCTCTTTTACGTTATGAAACATCCTTTGATATCTAAGTGCATTAAAATTATTTTAAAATCCAAAATGAAAGTCTATGTAAATTTTTGTTGTAAACTAATTTAAATGATTTCCAATAAGAGCTTTTTTTCTAATACAATCGGGATTCCATGTTAAAACATTCTCGGTAACTGAAATATAAAGACTGGGTGAATTTCTTTCAACATTTATTACACTTCTATCGATATTAATCTTGCCAATGTCAAACTATTTATAGATATCAGCGAATAACGCTATTACATTTTTTTGGGTAATACATGCTTGAGATTTTCACATATGTTATATTGTTACATGTTTACACGTTACATGTATACACATAATATAAACAAGCCTTTTATCTAATCTTGCGGGTTCATTCAACCGTGTTATTGTTCTCTACGTTATTGTCTTGCAGATGAATAGCGTGTGACATCACACATCAAAGATGAAGGATAATAACGTAGCTTAACTCTAACAAAGCTTGCACGCTGTAGCTAAGAATCTTAACATTAGGCGTCATTTTCTCTAAGATCGAAGGCAGCAACCATGTCATAATTTACTAAGGTCTGTAGATTTTTTCCTAAGAATCTACAGACCATATATTTTTAATAGCGTTTTTTTTTTAATATACTACAATCCACTCATGGTAAATTGCTGGTAGTAAAATAATAAAACTTTAATTACGTGTATCTGAAAATTTAAGTCAATAAAACGCACATTTGTTCCATTAATAAAATTTATAAGTAGTCATCAAAAATCACCTATTATTTTACAGGTTTCATTTTATTGTTAGGTTTTTATTCTATTTTTTAGTCGTGTCGGTTCGAAAATATTCTTCATAATCAAGTAGCGATGGTATGAAGAGATCCGGTAACCCAATTCCTATCTTAACTGCATGTCTCACGTGTAGCTCTTCATCTCTTCTTATTCTGCACGTTACCGTAAACATATCTTTTGGTATTGATTTCTTTATTGTAAACTATTTAATAATCTTCAATATGTAAAGAAAACACACCTTCATGTAACCTTCAGTCTCCGGTATCAATATCCTAAACCAATCTTTTCGTCATTTCAAAACTATTTAGCTGATGGCGAGTAATAATTCTAATGTCTTGGATATTTACTAGAAGTAACAAAAGCACTTTAGAAAATCCCTTATATTCAAATATAGGAAAATAAAACATAAATGACGTAACACAAACCTGTTAGCAACATCAACATCAAAATCTTTCTTTTGTTGCTTTAAAGCCTCCTAAACACTTTGAACGCTATAAAGAGCTATTTTTAAACTAGAAAGCATATGAAGCCGATGAAGTAATCTTGCCTTTGAGAACGTAACAAACAAAACAAAATGTCTCGGCATTCTAAACATTACGCTTTGGAGTCAACCTCAAAGAAAAAAATAAAACTACTTGATACATTTTAGCGTTTCACGAAAGAAATATAATTTCACATAACCTACAAAAGTCTGCAAAACTTTACTTAGCATTCTCTTTGCGTGTGGACTGCACATTGAGTACATATCCGGACCTTACATGACTAAGATAGATAGATGCAAAATAGAAGATATCGCTTATATAGAAAAATGACGTTACAAATAATTTCTTGCTAGATCCTATGAAGTGAACAACAGGTGTGCAAAAATATGAAATGCATATGAAGTGAATCTTTGAAAGGTCTTTGTAAACCAAATATTGCGAACAATACACAACCTTAAAAATAGCGATGAGAGCATATTTATTTTTAAACAAACAGATTGTTCCTGCAGTTGAGTGGCCAGTATCATTTCAGCCAGTTATGTTAGGACGTCTATAAAAGTCTACTATTCCTTATTTTAAAAAAAAAATTTGAAATTACTCTAATTATAAACTTTATAATCTGTAAATAAATTCTATATTAACTTTGTCATTTTAGTTGTAAGACAATTTAACTAAGTTAACGTCTACAAAAATAATGCTTCGTAAAATTAGACCACAACGATGTGATTTTAAAATTTACAAATATCAATTCTTTAATTATTTAGGTACCATAAGAAAACTCGTAATAATGATGTTTAAAATATTCTTATTTACAAAAGCCATGGTCAAAACGTATTTATGTTAATAATTATATTCTAATTGTTACTAAGTTTACCTTCAATGTGTTTATTGTTTATCAATCGTTATCTGATAATTATATTTTTGTTTCAACCTTTGTAATGTTTTATTATTTTTGAGGAAACAGTTTTATCATTGTAAAAACTAATTAGTTATTTTTTAACTAATTAGAACAACTTATGTTAAAACATGTTTCTCCATATAACGCTTTAAATGACACAATAAATTCCCTGATTTCTAAATTAATATTACTTAATTCTGAGGCTATTTTCATGTAACATGATAACATTCGCAGGATAAATAAATCTTAGGCAAGTATTAGAACGTATAAAAACACGTAATCCTGTCAAATTGTATACACATGTATATATTGTATTTTATTAATGTATTTATTTATTAGCCTTATTTATTCCATACAGAAAATAACTTATAAACGTACAAAATAATATGTATACATTGTGTAGTAAGTATGGACCCCGTTTAGGGTAAAAGCCTCCTCCAAATGCAGACTTTTTTATAATAGAACTTTAAAGTAATTTTTTATGACATTACAAAAAAAATTTTTCACAGCTATAAAAGTGTTTATATTAGAATTGTTGTGTGTTACATTAGAACAATTATAACATCGTTAATGTTTTATTTTTGTTTTGTACCATCTCAAATTGTTTTACAATGTTATAATTTCGCCTAAAAACTGTATTTTGAGTTATAATCAGCTGTTGCTAATAAATGTTGCAATAATATATTGTATAGTACCTATATATTCGAGTGCATTTCAATATATCCGTTTAATGTCAGTCTCGATGTCTCACACAGGCAATGTAATTGTGACAGGTGTTCACGTAACATAATACCAAAATACATCGGACACACACACACAGGAATCTAGATTACTATTACGTAATACAAATAGCTTGAATATGATGGATACAGTAAGAGCGATTATGTAACGGGAGGTCTTGATATGTATGTGTTGTGCACGATGAAGAGATTTATATGTATTTAGGATTTGTTTGCGTAGAGTGCGGTTTGATAACTTCGAGGAATAAGGTGTTTGACTTTGTAAGTTATAACATTGTTGATAATAATCAATATGTTGTGATAGATATAATTTCTTGTAATATAATTTGTTACTATATTATTTTATGTAATGAACGATAGAAGATTGCCTAATAAGTGAGTGAATTTATAAGGACAGTTTTAATAATACTGGTTACTTATTAGTTTTATTAATACTTGTGGGCAGGAACTATAAAATATAGCCTATGTTACTCAGTGATAACATAACTTTTTAATTGTGCAAGAATTTTTGAAATCGGTCTTTTAATTTTTGAGTTATTAAAATACATACAAAAATCCACATCTTTGCTCTTTATAATATTAATATAGTTTTAAAACATGGATTCAAAGTGACTATGTTACGACTTACCACTTTTAAAACTTTAATTGTCGTTAAACAATACTTAAAATTAATTCTAAAAGCCATCATAATTTCGTCTCATAAGGAAAATCATAATTCACCATATCCGCTGTGCCCTACACTGAAATCTCACCCTAAATTGAATCAAAAGTAAATATTATCAATAGAAGTAACGTCAACAAATGTTTATACAAAAGTAAGGTCAGGTTCAAATCCAACAATGAAACTTCCGAACATTGAGTTTACACGAAAAGCGCGAAATTGTATTTAAAATGCGCTACAAAAGTATAGTAGCAAAGGTCACATGTTATTAGATACGGTCTCAAGTGTCGTTCGATTTAGCTCTGTGATTTTCATTAACCAGTGAAAAGGACCCTTATTTTAAATTTCACCAAATTTCTTGCTTATTACGAACAAGTTATAGAGTAAATACATTTTAAATTTAATAGATTTCGCCCGCGTGTATTTAAAAAATGTAGCCTAATGTTACAAAAAAATTACCTTTCTAATAGTGAAAGAATTTTTGAAATCGGCCTATTAGTTTTTATATGAATCGAATACATAAAAGAATCTTAAAACACAAATAGAATTTTTTTCACAAAAAACGTCATAGATTGGTACCTTAAACGCCCTTCCTGTTCGCAACTTTGATATAATTTTTATTTGGCTTACATAAGTATTGTTGTATTGTTAACTTGTCATTTTAGAGCACATAAAAACTACAAACACGTTCCATCTGTCCGTTCGGCCTTGTTTTTTTGCAATATTAAATTACAATGCTGGTCAACTTATTTTTTCGTACATCATATCTTGATATACTTGAATAAGTGTTACAAAAAGTCTCTAATAACAATTATTAAATGACATTTATTTGTATTTAAGACTCAAACAAAATTATTCAAACGTTGCAACTATCATTAAAAATTTCCTCTAATATTTCTTCATTTTTATTATCTAAAACAACCTAAATATACATGTTACAGATAAATTTGTTGAGTAGGACATGCATGATGAC